CAATAGATGCAGGCTGGCCTTGAATTTGCCATCTTCCTGCTTTAGCCTCTTGTGTGCTGGGATTACAGGTGTGCACCACCATGCCGGCTCAGCTTTATTGGGTTATATGATGTTCACCACAGTCAACATCAGGCTTTATTTATTTGTTTGTTTGTTTGTTTGTTCTTCTAGACAGGGTTTCTCTGTATAACAGTCCTAGCTGTCCTGGAACTAGCTCTTGAAGACCAGGCTCAACACCAGGCTTTAAGAAGTCAACTTTTGTTGCTGTGAACAGTTACCTGGAGATGTCAATGAAAAGGAGGAACACTTCACTTTGGCTCATGGTTAAAAGGACTTTGGTCCAGGGTTCATTTATTCCATTGTCATGGGGATGTGGTCAAGCAGAACACAGAGACAGAAGCATGTGACAGAGAAAGCTGTTCCCCTCTTAGAAGAAGAAAGAAATAGAGAGCCTGGGAGGGGGAAGGGAAAGGGAGTGAGACCAACCTGGGACCTTCAAAGGCGTGACATCACCAACCCTCTTCATCCAACCAGGCCCCACTTTCTACCATAGTCACCGTCTTCCAGGGGCCCATTTAACTGTGAGTCCAGCAGTGGATGACTCCACGGATGATGTCATCACTCTCATGTTCCAATCACTTCCCCTGAAGTCCACCACTGAACACGAACGAGCCTTTAACATGCCTTGAAAATCCCCTCTGCCCTCATCTGTACTTGCCACCACAGCCACCGTAGTGAGTGGTATCGATTTTACGGTTTTAACTCATAATTGCGTTTTATTATGATCAACGGATTCTGGGAACCAGGAATTCAGAGAGTACAGTGTACCCAGGAATTGGCTCCGAGCTGTCTGGAACCTTGGCTGCAAAGTCCCAAAGGTGGCCAATGACTCAGTGCCTAGGGCTAAGTTCATGTGGAAGGCTTTAAACTCAGGCACCTGCTAGGTTTTCCTGGTGAGCAGCTTTGTCCTCAGTGAAGCAGTTGCCTGGAATAGCTATGTGTGTTTCTCCATGGTGGTCTCACTTCGAGAGAGAATTTGGGCAGCCTCACTGGATCCCAAAAGCTAATTGTCTACGAGAATCAGGTTAAATGCCATGGAGACAGACGTAAGCTCAGAAGCCATCCAATGTCACTTGCACAGAGTCGGTCTACACCAAAATTCAAATGTAGGGACTTTTTTTTTTAACTTCTAAGCCACACTGGTCTCAACCTCTCTTTTTAGCTGAGAATGGTCTTGATCTTCCGCTTGTCCTGCTTCTACCTCCAGAGTCTGGGCTCACAGGCATGTGTGCTCATGTTTCATTGTGTGCAATGCAGGAGGGTGAAGCCAGAGCTTCAAGCGTGCCAGGGGAGCACTCTAGCAGCTGAACCACATCTTGCTGCATCTGCCTATTTAAACCCTAATTTAAACCTGCTTTGCTTTAGAAAGCATCGTGCATGTTTTACCTGAGACCATCCTCATTCCCCTTTCCCAGGCAGTGTTCGTCAAAGCTTGTCGAAAACGCTAAACGTCTGCTTTCCTAGCCTCCCTTGTAGCCACTTGACACAGGTCTGCACAGTAAGACACCAGCCATAATCTGCTGATAGGCTGCTAGGCAAGCTCCATCCCTGGACAAGAAAATGACCCATGGTGTGGAGACTCCAGCTACACTACCATCTTTGGGGAAAGGCCAAAAGAATGGTTACATCCTTAGAGGTAGGTGAAAGTACTGGTCCTTGTACCATTGAACCACTGAACTGGAGTGGCCGCCTGTCCAGGCCCTTAGCCTGTGAGAAAATAAACCCTTATTTGGTAAAGCCCCGATAACATCTATCAGTCCAAATCTGGAAAACTAAAGGACTTTGTAGCATGAGGGGGCCGGCTTGTTGGGATTTCTGTCCCGCCCGGTACCCCACAGCCGGCAAATCTCAAAGAAAAATCACACACAGGACTCCATAAGGTTATAAACTGATTGGCCCATTAGGTCAGGCTACTTATTAGCTCTTATAACTTATGTTACACCATTATCCTTATCTACGTTAGCACATGGCTCAGTACCTTTTCCAGCGGGGCAGCTTACATCTTTCCTCTCTGGTGGTCTGGGCAGCCCTGGCAGAGGGAGGTTCCTAGAATACTCCCAGTCTCTTTGCTCCACCTCTACTTCCTGTCTAGGAACCTTCCTGCTTCCCAGAATTCTCCTGTCCTCATTGCATCACCTCTACTTCCTGTCTGGCTTTCCTGCCTATACTGCCTGCCTGGCCAATCAGCGTTTTATTAAAATATGATTGACAGAATACAGATAATTCTCCCACACCAGGACTTCCTTTGGAGTTGTAGAAATCACACCTGAGGTGTAACAGGTTCATAGAATACAGAATCAGTGTTGCAGACAAGGAAGTGGGGTGTCCCGCGCTACCGTCTCGCCCGCAAGAATGATGCGGGACACTTAGGATCCTTCTGCAGCAAAGCTTTAATGCCTCTTGAGAGGGAGCGCATAAGCTTACATTGCGGAGACCCAGAATGAGGGGCACCCAGCCCTTATAAAGGAAACAGTCCTCGCTTCTGACGTGTCACTCTTGGATTGGTCCACTGCCCATTATCCCAGATGATGCCTCGGGAGTAGGCAGGGACACAGCGGTAGAGAGTTACCAAGCACGTGCGCTGGGATTAAAGGTGTGTGCTAGGACACCTTGAACTCACAGAGATCTGCCTGTCTCTGCCTCCCAGGCATTGGGACCAAAGGCGTGTACTACCACACCTTGAGGTCACAGAGGTCAATCTGCCTCTGCCTCCCAGGCATCAGGACTAAAGGCGTGTACCACCACACCTTGAGGTCACAGAGGTCAATCTCTACCTTCGTCCCTTGAAGCAATGGAGAATGTGGTTGCGGCCCTCCACAGTGGGGGGTGAGAATTTGAACTGAAATGGATGAGTAGAGAAATTCCATTGAAATTGGGAAAGCACTGGCGTTGTATGAAAGGCTCTACATCACTGATTCATTCAAGCCAGTATGGTAGTGCATTCCTTTGATCCTAGCACTTGGGAGACAGAAGCAGGTGGATCTCTGCAAGTTCAAGACCAGCCTGGCCTACCTAGCAAGTTCCAGGGCTACATAGTGAGCCCCTCTCTCAAAAAAGGGTGGGGGTCTGCTAAAGGCATGGCTCAGTAGAGTACCAGCTGCTCTTCCAGAGGCTAGGCTAGAAGTTTGATTCCCAGAACCCACGTCATTTCAGACCTGTCAGTGATTCTATCCCGGGGAATCTGACACCCTACCTCCTCAACAGCACAGATGTACACACAGGCAAAGCACCCACACATATAAAAATAAAAAAAAATTCTTTTGCTTTTTGAGACAAGGTTTCTCTGTGTAGCCTTGACTGTCCTGGAACTCGCTCTGTAGACCAGGTTGACTTTGAATTCAGAGATCCTCCTGCCTCTGCCTCCTGAGTGCTGAGATTAGAGGCGTCTGCCACAACTACCTGGCAAAATTTAATTTTTTTTCAAGAAATGATTCATCCAACAATAAGATCTTGATGTCCATATAAAGTCTAGGCACAAGTTAATCATCTCCTTCAGATGACACAATCCAAGTGTGAAGGTGATGAGAGCTCCCATCCTGTGGGCACCTGGCGTCCTCAGAAATCTTGTGTCCCAACTCCATGTTGAAAGGCTCTTTGCAACTTGACTTTAATTTGCCCTGTGGTTGGCCTTTCTGTCACCCAGTCCTTGATAGCAGCACAAGTCTGTCTTCTCTGCAAACAAACTGAAGCTCTTGCGGCATCCGCAGCCATCCATCCTGCTTCCTATTTCTTTCCTGTTATGCTAGAGAAGGCTGCCTGTTCACTGTGGAGCCAGGAGTGGGAAAACTTTTATTTGCTGTAATCCTCCAGGCTCTGCTCCTGAGTGCTGAAATTACAAATGTGGGCCACCCTAGTGTTCCTGGAGGAGATTTTGGATTTCTGCCATTCTTTTTTTTGTTTGTTTGTTTTTTGTTTTTCGAGACAGGGTTTCTCTGTGTATCTTTGACTAGCCTGGAACTCACTTTGTAGACCAGGCTGGCCTCAAGACTCCCAGAGATCCACTTGCCTCTGCCTCCCAAGTGCTGGGGTTAAAGGAGTGTGCCACCACGCCAGCCCGGCATGGATTTTTACCATTCTTGTGCCTTCCTCTCTATATCCCCGTATGAACTGGGTGGTCTTAAATAGGGCATTAAAATAGCAAGTATCTAACAAGTTCTTTCTTTTTGTAGGTTGGGATTGCCCAGTTAGTGTCCACAGCTGGATAGTGGATTTGCCCAGGCTGAGGGTGAGGTAACTAAGGGAGAAGGGAACCGAGTGGTGCTGCCAGCACAGAAGTGGGCCCAAGCACAGTAAAGTGAGTTCTAGGGATCAGACAAACTAAGGATTTGGGTTTCCGTCTTACATTTAATTACCAAGGCGAAAAGTTAATATTATAATGCCAATTTCCATTTTGAAAAATCTGTGTTAGAAAGATCTGCTTGGTTGAGTCTCCCATAGCAGATGGAGAGTTAAGGCTGAGGATTCGTGGCTTTCCTCCATTTTTATGTCCGCACTAAGTGCACAGTAGGTGCCTGTTGGCTGAATAACTGAGATC